GGCTGGGCTCCTGCGCGGGGTGGCAGTGCTGGCACTTGTGTGCTGTGAGAACGGGACGCGGCCGCAGCGTTCCCCCGGTGCAGCTTTGGGCTGGGGGCGCTTCTCGAAACCGGCGACTTCTGCCTGTTCAGACATCTTCAGCAGTGTATTCTGAAACGCGGCGTAGGACATCGGCTGAGAGGAAAATCTGATGGAGCTGTTGTTTTCTGTGCCGAAAGGCAAAATTTTTCCTATTTTTTTTTTTCAGTCAGAAGTAGGCCCTCGTGTTTGTTTACTGATACAGTCTCTTCATTTTCTGCAAAGTGGAAGTATCTTTTAAAGTCCACTTAGGTTGGAATATGAAATTTTAAGTTATCTTAAGTCTTTACAAATTTTGTAGGTAACTGCTATTTCTGTAATTAAAAAATTCTGTTTTGCAATATATATATATATGTGGAACCATCAATGCTAAACGCATTCACCTTTGCAGGTAATCATGGATCAGGTAATGCAATTTGTGGAACCCAGCCGTCAGTTTGTGAAAGACTCCATACGACTTGTTAAAAGATGCACCAAGCCTGACAGGAAAGGTAAAGCACACAGTAAACCAGAACACAAACTTATATCTTACCACGTGTCTTTCCATATGTCACTTCTGCTGATTAATTTGCTGTGAATGTTTCTCATCTGCCAGTATGAGATTTAAACTTGAGCAGTTGTCTAAATGGTAATGGATTTATGGTTCTGGATGTAATAAACTTGGATGTGTTCTTTTCTGGTACGTACGTAGGTGTGTGAGTGGAAGTAAAACTCACATTATGAAACAGGCTAAGTAGCTGAAATTAGCCATTTTGAGACAGGCGAGCAATGCTTTTCATGTATAAAGTAAACTGATCTGAAAAGAACTTGTGTGTACTTTGAAGTGACAAATGAAGCAGTCAGATGTGATTGATTGCAGTGAAATTGGGGGAAATTCTAGTGGAAAAGACTTTATTTTAGGAGACTTCAGTGGAACCAGAATTGCTTTTTGCAGTGCTCATTCAGTGCTCCACAGTTGTCAGACACTGCCTGATTGGGATGGGAAGAATTTTGTTGCTGGGAGTATAGAAGAGAGGTTTTGGACTTTCTCAAAGGCCTTAGACAGAAGCTGTAACTGTAACCAGAATGCAACTGGTCATTCTTACTGTTAATATTTACAATGCTTTATTTATGTGCTAAGAATGAACAATTCTATGACTCTAAGTTTACTGGTATCTTCTGAGATCAGTAGGGAACTTCATTCATGGTCAGACTGGCAGGTTTGTTGATCTTCTTAGTCCACTTCATGGTTGCTGTCTTAAAATAATTGAAAATATCACAAGTACTCAATTTTTGTGGGGACTTAAGGTGCTGTCCTTCTGTGACAGACACTAATGGAGCTTTTATATTTTTGATACTGTATTGGGGATTATTTTCAGGGCTTGTAGGGTTGTAAAGGAAAGATAAAGGAAAAAATGTTCCATGAATTGTGGATATTTCTGATTTTGCTACTTAAAAAAATTGTGATTGGCCATTGTTTGTGGAAAGCAGCACCTTCTCTCTTAAAATTATCATCTGTCTTCTGAAAAAGTGGATTTGTTTCTCGGGGTCACTGCAGTGACTATTTCCAGAACTATTTCCTGTGTTAACATTATTCTCTAAAGAGATACCTCTCCTGTGGTCACTGCAGTGCACATCTATATGCCAATACATGAGATTTCCTAGACAATTTTTTTGGTTTTGTTTTTGCAGAGTTCCAGAAGATTGCCATGGCAACAGCAATAGGCTTTGCAATAATGGGATTTATTGGTTTCTTTGTCAAATTGATCCATATCCCAATCAACAATATAATTGTGTAAGTAAATATGACCTTTAATTTCACTAAATTTTTACCTGTTCATTTTTAAACAGAGGATGTCAGTGAGCTCTGCAGGATCCATGTTGCTTTAGTGTCTGCATTTCACATGTTAGTGTAATGTAAAAGGAGTTACTTGATTCAAAGAACTTAATCAGCAAGTAGGTTGTTAATTTAGCATGCTGCAAAATATTAGATCTGTAGATCTTCATTTTTTTTCTGAGTATTCTGCTTCAAAACTGAACTTCAAATATTTTCATTTCCAGTTCCTCAGTGTGTGTTTGACCGTAGAACATTTACTTTATTTGGATCTTATACTCTCACAATTTGCAGTTTATAATTTGGGTATCCAAAGTAAACAGATGGATGGTAAGGTAGAGAAAACGTGAGTGGGTGTCCTGCAGGATGACAGAGCACAGAACAAAATTGGTCTTGTTTCATTTACTCACTGCTAGATGTGTTTGAAACTTTGGTTTATGTGTAACTGCATTCTGTAAAATCCCTTTTGGAATGAATGTTGCAGCAGGAAAATCTTGACCCTTAAGTTGACTGGCACCATGGTACTGACCCATTAACACTACCAGTTAAAACTCCTCTTGTTATTCAGAGCTGATGTAATGCCCTTTCTAGCACTGGAAGAGATTAAATACTGTTCTGTGACCATGATGTGTGGCTTGCTTATACGTGTAAGAGTGGTCCTGTAGGCAAGGAGAAGTGTTTGAAAATAGGAGATAAGCTGCAATGGTAGTAAAGGTTGTCCTAGCAATGCAGTGGTGGGAGGATAAATTAGACTTCAGGTGGGATCACTTGATTAGTTGAAACTGATTACTTTGTTCTCTCAACAGAGGTGGCTGAATATTCATCATGAAGAAGAAGAAGTCAGTTGTGACACCTGCTGCAAAGATTTCACAGCTTTAATTTGTTTGATATTAAACAAGCTCGGTTTGGGTTTTCAAACACTGTTGTCACCTTATTTTTCTTTCAAAGTGTATGTGATCATACCTGTCTATATTACAGGATTTTTTTCTTTTTTAGTAGTAGTGCCTTTTGTTTGTTTTGTTACATCTTTTAACTGGTAGTAGAATCATTCAGGTGGGAAGGAAGCTTGGGAGGTCTCTAGTCCAGTGTCCTGCTCCTTGCTGGGTCAGTGTTGCACTCTTGACAAGATTGCTTAAGCTTTGTCCAGTCAGATATTGGAAGCCTCCAAGGATGACAACTGTATGACCTCTCTTCAGGAGCTGTTTACTAAGCAGTAAATTAAACATAGGAACAGCATTGTTCCAGCAAAAGTAGACAGCAAGAAAACAACATTCCTGTATCCTTTCAGGTGGTAATTTAAAAGTCTTATCAACTGAAATTCTTGTCATTAATTTCTAGAATCACCATCATTATCACTAATTCCTTTCTGCATTTGGAAGTCCTGCTAGGTTATATTATGTACTTGACTGGAAAAATCCTCCATCAAATGAAGAACTTGCATGGCCAGTCCTTATTCTGATGGCATAATTTAAAATGCCAAACTTAGTTGGTTACTGAGATGTACCATTTGAGTATAATTTAGTTGTCAGAGATGCTAAGCAGTCCTTCTGCAAATCTGCAACTTCCTCACAGTGTTGGTTAGGATATACAACCGTTTTGGATACTCTTCTGCACACAGAATTATAAAGGGCTGTGCATGTTGACCTGGAAGTTTTCATTATTAAATGAGTGAACATTTTGATTTTAAGAACTAAGCCTGCAAAAACTCTAGTAGGTGCAATGCTATTCCTCCTCAGATTGAGATTAAGAAGTTTATTTCACTCCAGAAAGCTTACTGTAAGCATTTAGTATTTGCAGAAGCTACAATGGTATTTCTATTACAGATTTTAAAAGCACTTAATACTGAGAAATCTGATATTGATATTACAGGAAAACTGAAGCTCTTTCAGTACACAAACTTGTTTTCTAAGTAGAAAAGTTCAACTATTACTCTTCTTGAGAAATCTTCACCAGCAGCTACATATGTTACAAACCAGGACAGAAAAATGAGATTAACTAATCCTAGTGCTATCACCTTGTAATACAGTTACACTGTGTGCAACTGGGTACTGTATTTTCTTTTGGCAAAAGGGGAAAAACAGTTCAGTATTGCAATAAAATACTTTGCAAAAGTAGTCTGGACTAACCAGATAAGCAGTAGCAGTTTCTTTACATTCATTTTTGTTTGTGACTGTACTGGGTGGCTGCTCATGTGTCTAGTGGTTAGGTAGTGTGAGGTACCAGAATGAAGTACTCTATTACTGCAAGTAGTTTTGATTGGATCTCAAGTAACTTTTATTTCAGACTTGTTTTCCATTCGATACATAAAATCAGTGCCTGCTTATATTTTTTGGAACAGCTTTACTGTCTTAATTCAGTGAAATTTTGTAGTAATTGGAGTTGTGTTGGATCAGAAAAGGCAGCTATAGCTGATCTTATCTTTTGATAGCCATTGTCCACAGCAAAGGTTTGTCTGTCTCGACAGTCACAATCCCAGAGCCATCATAGGTGTTGGAAGTACTGACGAGTGTTCCAAACTTCAGCACCTGGTTAGCTGTGAAAAAGAAATAGGAGATTTAGTGTTACTCTTCAACAATAAATGCACATCAGTGCATTTGTTTCAAAAGATAGCTGCTGCCACAAAGAACGAAAAAATTGCTGAATAAATCTAACCCAGATAAACATAATTAAAATACCTACGTTAAATGTTAATTAGAAGGCTTCAGTGAAGCTTTTTGATGACCTGTAGTGGGAATAAATTAATACTTAATCCTCAAATTAACATTTTGATTTTATAGCAGATTATTACAAAAGCAGTATGTCAGATATTCCCCAGAGTTTCACATCTGGAAATTTGTACTTCATTAGCATCAGCTCAAGTACCAGTGCTAGAAAAGGTATTTAAAGTAAGACAAGGCAGAGGATCTTATTTTACTTCCAAATTTGGGATTTGCTTTAGCTCAACAACAAACCAATAGTCTTTTAAAACATGAACAATTCTAGAGCAAAGGCTAACAGTTAAAAGGGGTATTATTTAAAAACTTTGAATCAAGTACAGTTTTTTTCTTTAATTTCTTCCCTTTTTGAGATAGCATTGCTTGCATTTTGCAAACATAGCTTCCGCAATGGTACTCCACAACTAGTCAGTTCTGTTAGTCCTTGCTTACAGAAGGGTTCAGAGTAAGCACTCTTAGTCTCCTTTGCTTTAGCCTGTAAAACAAGCCAAATGACAGCTCTTACTCACTGGCAGCACAGAGATAGATTTCCATGGAGGATACAAGGAGAGCTGCAGCTGAGGAGAATTATTCAGGAAGATCAGCAAGTCTGTGTGGCCTAACAGAATTGCCAAATTGTGCATTAATACTGAAGGAAAAATCCTCTGGGTGTGCTATTGAGTGAGCCACTGCAAATTGAGATCTCCCAGTGATCGAAAGGTGTGCAGAGCAACTTAGTAAACTCTATTTTGTGATTTGTGCAGGAGACACATTTTCCCATGTTGAATATCAACACAGGCTGTAGTACACTTGGGTGTAGTGCATGATTACGATGCATGTTACACTGTCTACCTGTTGCTGGAAGCTGCACAGGAGGAATGGATCTTGCCAGGCTGTATGGCTTTAAAATAAGGGACAGTCTGATAAAAGCCAGGACATGTGGTTCAGTATCTCTTCTGCCAAATCTGTGCTTGCTGCTACTTATTCCTACTCCTACGCTTGTTATTAGCTTGAAATGAAATGAACTGAAGAGAAGGTTTCAGCTGCTAGCTCTGTTGGAACAAGAGTAACACCCAAGTTTCAGTACTACTGCAAATGGAAGAGTCTTGCCATTTGAATTTCTCAGGAGCTGGGAGCATAACTGCAGTGCAGTGCAGAAATTCAGCAAAGAGAGCAAAAGAAAAGTACCACTGTATTTGATCAACTGCGTACCTAAAATAAAGGTGCTAGATTCTATCAGGGTGCTTTTAGACACACAGCAGCACTGGGGAGGCTTCTAGACAAATGCCAGGATCAATGAGTTCTGGTGTTTGCCTTTGGAAGACACACAGCAGAGGCCACTGGGGTCTTGCCAGAAGTTGATGCACTGGAACTGCATTGCCAGAGAACCCAGATTTCACCATTTACAGGTAAAAAAGTCATTTACTGATGAGGTAACACATGGGTAGAGTTCCCTGTGTAAAAATACTTCCAAAATAGTGTTAAGTCAAATCAAGTTATGAATGCTGCCAGTCAGTTTTAAGTAGGAAAGAACCGTAAATAGTTTAAAATAATTATTGACACACAAATTACCCATATTTGGTTACTATATATTGAAGCTTGAAGGGGGTGGGGAGGAAGAACCTTGTGGATCAACTGCTGTATAAACCCACTCGTTTAGTATCATTTATTGCTTCTTGCTCAAGAGTCAGAATAATACTTAATGTTTCACAGCTTTGCATATGAAATAATGGCTCTGTAGAAGGCAAGAATTAACAACATGGCAGCTTAATGAAACAAAATCTAAAGCTGTATTTCTTCATGCATAAAATTAAGTGAAAATGAGAGCATTTGTTTTCTTTAAATAGAAAACTCTTGCCCGCTAGATGGAGCCTTTTATCTTTATCAGATTTTCTTCTCACAAGGATCACAGTTTGAAATGCTGAAGTGAAAAAATGCAAAAACTATAAAACAGTACTGCTAATTCACGTGGGTCAAATGGACCAACTCCAAGCACTTGGTTTCACAACCAGCCAACATTTCCACTAACATAATTAAAAATGCATGCTTTCCATTCAGTAAATGAACAGTAATTAATGTGAAGAACTAGGTTCGAGCCAGTAAAGGAAATAAAGAGGATGTACATACATACTGCTGCTAGGCAAACATCCTGCTGTGTCATGCATTTTGATGTTAAGTTTACAAGGTCAAAGAAGTGGGAAGTTTTATCAGTTCATACCTGATCCATTCCTTTTTTAAAATGAATTTCAGTTGTATTTGTTAAGTCTTAGCGAGAGCTTATGCCTTGGGAAAAAAACCCTGTTACAACACCCATTCTTGCTCTTGAGATTATTTCTCATGAAATGCATTCCAAAGAAAACCACTTTTTTGTTTTCTAATATTTAGCATTTATACTTTTGCTGGGTAGTAAACCCAATTTTAATAAAGGATTTCACATTTTGATTTAAAAAATTATCTAAATCTCAAAAACCTGGTAATTCTAGAATTTTCTAATTAAAAGAGATCTTATTTTGGATCACTGAAAATTTTCTTTTCTTGTTTTTCATGAGAACTTTCAAGAACTGATTTGGATAAACCCATAAGTGATTTATTAAAAACAACCCCCCCACAGGTGCTTCCAGCACTGTCAGAAGTTTTGCTTAGTGCTTTGATTGCATTCAGACTGTGTTTACTGATAATAGACTGTTGATGAGAAAAATACCCAGCTCCTCCATTGTAGCTATATAGTGTTTCACATTACTCTCCACCAGTCCAGCATAGACTTCAATACTAAAAGCAAATGCTGTTCCTGCCTTTATTTTTTTGGGAAAAAAACCCCAACAACCCAACACAATCAGAGACAACTTTTTGTGGTGTGCCCTATGTTCTTATCAGTAAGCACTTACTGATAGATTGCAACATACCATTAATTCAGACCAAAACATGGGCATAGAGAGGACTTATTTTGATGAGGTAGTGGAGGAATGTTTTTCTAGCAGTTTTTGTTTTGTTTATCAGGTGTTTGAATCTGCCAGTGTTTGAGAATGTTAGAAATAATTTAGAGAAGAAATTTGAGGGCATGTAGGTAAGCTTCCCGAAGGAGCATAATCACAAAGATCACTATTTCTTAGACGTGTCTTTTGCTGACCAAGTTATATGACTAAAGAGGAAAATTAACCCTGAGACTGCCAATTTCCACGATTTTATTGCTTATATTTTGATTTTTTTTTAAATATGCAAATCTAAGGATGCCATGTGGACAATGTTAATCTCAGTTTAAGAATTGATGACTTAAGGTTGCAAGAACAACATTTGGAAATGTTAACAAAATACACCCTATAAGTAGTCAAGATATATAATCAAACAAAAAACCCAAACTTGAAAATTTACTTCGAAATCTCATCATATTTATACCTCTACCACAGTTAGGAGTTATTTTTGAGTTGATGGTACCATAAATGATTCCTAAGCCTTGCTTGCAATCTTTGTGCTGCCGACTTTCAGCCTGGAAACTGAGAAATAGTGTGGACTAATTATAAATAGATTGGGAGTCATCATGTTGGGTGCTGCAGAAACACTAACTCTCACTATCAGGTAATCTCTCTTAATAATTCTATTAATGATCTAGTAGACTTATAAACATTATTTCTATAACTTCATTGTACTATTTAGGATATATATATACACACATACAGGGCTTGAGGGAGGCATATTCAGAGAAAAACTTCATCGTAAACTTGTCATATATAGCAAAAGCAAATCATGTCAGGTTCTTATCATTGTTACCGCAAATGACTTAGAACAAAACAATATCATGATAAGCATAATACTGTGATGCTTATACTATGCTTCCTTTTCTCAGCTAGGTGTTTCAATTACTTCCTGAAATATGTAAAGTCACACCTTGCTGGTTTCCACCACCGAAAATAGAAATAAGGAAAGGAATACAAGCAGATTGCCAATTCTGGCATAGATGTTTGGAATATTAAAATAATTAATTATTAATTAAAAGCCATATTACAGTGAATGTAATCCTCTTCCCCCTAGGCAAATGCTTCATCAAAATGTTAGAAAATAAAGATCAATAAGCTGAAACACAAGCTTAAGTGAAATATTGAATCACCATTTGGTATCCTGTTACAGTTTATCTGGAGAGGATTTCCCTGAAGTTCTGTGTTAGGAGCAAAAATCTGCATTTAAATGGAGATACATTAGTAATGCAGGAGATAGTACTTTGCAGGTCACCCTATGTCTGCAGAATAGCAGCATTAATTTTGCTATTTAAAAATAAAAGAACCCAAGTAGTTTGTGGACTGATTTTCCTTTCATTCCTCCTAGTTTTACACTTGTGGTTTAGACTGACTTTAGTGGAGTTAATCTTGATTTACACTGATGGATACAAAGGAAAAATTGGGTCCTTGATCTCTGTGCAGTGGGAACTGCAAAACTGGAAGTTGCAAATAACAGTAATTTACAATAAAACATGGACTATTTTCAATATTGATGCAACAGAAGTACCATAAAGGCTTGCTGAGTCTGCTGGGAGGGAACAGGCTAGCCTGTTACTGCACTGATCCCCTCAGGGCCAAGGGGAGTTTTGAATAAGCAGAAAATTGCATTGGGCAATTTTTATAACTATTGTAGCTTTTGGTACCTGGCTTTGTAGCACAAAACAAGGGTTTTGCAATCTCAATGTATTCATACAAGCAGGCTTATGAAAGCATTGAGAGGATATGGGGTGAAGGGGGTCCAGCAGGCAGGGCCAGGTGGCTATTCCACCCTTTCAGATGCTGGCAAAGACTCTTGGCAGGGGCTCTGCAGCACAGGCTGCTTGGCCTCACATCGGTGGGAATTCAGGAGG